GCGGGACGTCGGTAACGCCGGTCGGGTAGGGTCGGTGTCGGAGCTATTCGTCGTCGCTCGCGGCAAACGGGCTTTTTCAATAAAGTTCATGTCTGTGGTCGCGAAAAGATAACTGCTGTGGAAACTACCCGGCGTCGGTGACAATGCAACCGGCTTGAGGCCTCGGCGATCGGCTGAACCGCCACGCGAACGAGACCTGCTCGATGGGGAAGCACGCTGCTGGATGCAGTCGATGGTCGCTCCCACTGTCGCGTAATCGCCGTAATGGATACGGCGTCGGCGCTTGGGGGTGAATGCTTGCGGTAGTTCAGCACGTATGGACGATTACGAACGAACACGTGCAAACTACGCTTTCGCTGCGGCGAAAAGCCGTGTAAAGCGCTGGGCCTCGCTCGTCGAACCCGTCTTGCGTCAAACGGCCGCCATTGTAAAAAAACACCCCTAGACGTGTGATCGCAGAACGAAGTACACGTTCAAAGATGTTCATTTTACACGAGACCTCGGGTGCAAACGAAATACACCGAGCCTCGCGTGTAAAACGAACACCATTTGGGGAGTCCGCCCTGGGACAACGGTTTACACGTCCAGGGGTGTACTTTTTCGCTGTGTGTGTAGCAACGAGGTGAGCTGGCTCGGTTTCCGTAGCAACCGAGTGACGACTCGTCACGTGACCTCTCAAGAGCCGTGATGTCATCGGTAAGATGGCAGCGCCCAGAGGTGGTGGATGCGAGTTTTTTCGCTGCGCGGAGTCGCGATGTGCCGCAGCTTGCCGACGATTTAGGGCTTCTTCGTGCTTTCTGACGTAGGTATAACGTGAAGATCTGAAAGAATGATACTTTATACCCTTTCTGTGCAAGATCGCTTTGAATATTAGCACCTGTGCGACAGCATCATTAATAGGGAGTTTTAGAATAGCGCACGCTAAAGCTTTGCGCACGCAAAGAATAGCGTCGTCGCCACTGCGCATGCTCCGAACGCAAACCAGGTTTTGCGCTTTGCGTGCGCAATTTTAGCGTGCGCTATTTCTCGGAAATAGCGTGCGTACGCAAAGAGCCTTTGCGCTTCTCCAAGGAGGATTCATGATGAGAAGTTGGCTAAAGCCAAGACGAGCAGAGTTAAGCAAAAATGGCGACTTCCAGGATTATGTCGGCGGCTGCTGAGGCAGCGTCGTGAGTGCGACGTCGGCGGCATCCTCGCGACTGCGATTTTCAATACGAGACGAAATTGTACTCGGTTTGGCAACGATCACCGGCAACTTGATGCTTGCGACGCGCGAACACTTCTCGGCGAAGGTATGATGTGCGAAGGTCAGTACGCGAGACCTCTCTTGCCGAGGCGACGCAAGCGGGCACGACCGGTCAACCGCTCGCGTCGCATTCTCGTGTTTAAACAAATCTAAAATCGTACTCGGGACCAAAAAACTTGTTTGTCTCTAAGGTTACAGCATTTCGTGTGCGAAATAAAAATTGTGACTATAGCTTGGTGGCGTCGCACGCGCGAGATGGTTGGGCTTTTGCGTCGCGACGGAGAAACGCTATTCTAAAACACTCTCGCGTCGCGGGCGCTAATGCAAGCGCTAAATTTAGCGCTAGCGTGCGCTAAAATTGCGTACGTTATTCTAAAACTCCCTAATATCGCCTTAGCGGTGCTCGGGTTTCCGGATGTGTTTGTGGATCGATAAGACATTTAGTATGCAATTTCCGCATTCTCTTAGCTTTATTTGAACATTGGAGTGTCTGAGAATCGATGCGAAATCTATGCGTCGCATGTTGGGCCTTGGGGAATTTGTTTTTGCCCCAGGTAACCGCATGATCACAAACTTTTAGCGAGGAAGCTCCTGCGATGTTTACGTTTTGTACTAATCAACCAGAAAACCTGGGTTCAATCCCCACCCCTGCCCGTTTCGATCTGGATGAGCATCGTACCGGCCTGCGGTTGTGTATCACTACTGCGTGGTGCACGTTAAAGACATATAGAGCTAGCGGCTATACTGCATTGGCTAAATTGCTCATCTACAGCGAGTGACTGACTCGTCGCAACTTTGAAATGGCTGACCAAGTACGAGCTGTATAAATATTCACACAACTCCCAAGTATACTAATCAACGATTTTACGATATGCGCAGCGCAAGTTCGTCTGCTTCTTTTAGTAGGGGTTGTGGTGACGTCAGAATGCCGAGCTCTGATTGGTTCTGAATAAAGAATAGTGAATAGACCTCAAGGCAGCTTGCTTTTAAGTCTACCCACTCTCCTTCAATCGGAGCTACTCAGATCTCGGCGTTCTGACGGCACCACAACCTCTGCAAAAAGAAGCAGACGAACTTGCGCTCCACGTAGCTTTTAAGATAAAATTTTCGCATTTTTCTAGCTTCCTTTGAAAGTCTGAATTTCTGAGAGTCATAACGAAAGGTATACGGCGCGTGTAGCGCCTAGGGGAAATTGTTTCAGCCCTGGGTCACCGAATAATCACAGCATTTTTTAGCGAGGAAGCTCCTGCGATCTTTAACCTTTTTTACTTATCGCCAATTTTACGAATTGGCAGTTCTGAAGATTTCAATATAACTTGCTTTCGTTGCAATAGCTTGCATTTGATCGCAGTGTTTTTTTGTTTGTTTTTCAAGTGAAAAGCTGGCGTTTGCTCAAGTAATGTATATGAAACGTCCTGCTATATGACAATGCATCAACACATACTATTAAACTTAGATGCTCAGAGGTGTGTTCGTCTTTGTAATTAACAAGTTACAGACGTATTTATTTCTTACGAGTGTAATATTTATTTTCTGTAGCTGGGCCCGTTTTGTGCTCATTAATGTCAGTGTGCTATGACTTTATCATCATGTGTGTATGGTTCTAAACATCCTCTTTGCAATGCCTACAAAGGACAAAATGACGTCAGCCGACCCCAACTCACGCATTGGACACGAAAACTGCGTCGCTCGGATGTATGCGCTCGTCAGCAATCAATTCGTCCATGGATATTTGAATTCGCGTTTCTGGCGAATGAGTGCCCTGACGGAACTTATCATTACTTGCGAATGCCAAGTTCTATGGTGTGCTTAAAAAGCACGGTGACAGCTTGGGGTCATCGCACCGGTGCCCTAGCATGCAACGACTGCGTGATTTCACAGTTCTCTTCTGAGTTGAGGATTAGAGGTAAGGAAGTAGTTTAAAAATAATTTCGTGGCCCCTTTAACACGGATATGTGTGCTACACCAGTTAAAAATATTGACTTTTGAATGCCGGTAAACTTCCGAACGACCATTTGGCGTGTCGGCAAGAACACCTCATATCCGGCGTCCGTCTCTTTTGATGGCGTCAACAATTCCTTAGAGACCACCATACCGTCCTTCTTAGTTGAACCCCGTCGACGTCGCTCCTCACCAGTCGGTGAGAAAATCTCATCTTGAAGGGATGATTGGGTCTTGAAGAAGTATGATGCTAAACGTAAATACTCGCTCACTATAGGGCAGTCGAGCAGCAGTCATGTTCCGAGCCAATCGTCCTGTCGCGGCCGGCGTAATCGGATTTTGTTCCATCGGAGCGAAGTCCGAAAGTACTAGGACGGTACGTTCGCCCCACGAAGCGGCCGCCATCCCGGCGGCGCCGAAAACCACTCGCCTTGTCCGTGCACGTACGATACCATAGCAGCTCTCGTCGCCCGACAGTCCCTGTGCTGCAAATCGTCTCACTTTTCAGAAAAAACAGGCACCGTTCCTCCAGAGGGTCTTGCCATACCTAGGGTGCCTTCATGTGCGCTTTGCTTAGGGTGGTGGCATCTCGCCATTTTGTCCCACACGTTTATTTTTCTTTTTTGTTCAGAAGCGCGTGAAAGAGCGTGGCCCTGCACGCGTTTGTGGCGCTGACTGTGCTATGGCGACATTTTGTTTTCGTCGATTTCTTTGTATTTTCCCCGTGAGCGCGTGCTGTCGACATCGGGTACTACAAAGGGTGGCATCACCCTAAACAGAAGGACATTGAGGCACCCTAGCCATACCGCGATGCCAAGCGTCTTATACGACTTTTCAATGAACGAATGGAGATATCAACTAAACTACAAAGGTTGCCACCCTGCGTCGCTAGAAGCACGGTTACCATGGCAACCTCCCAGGCCCAAAATGGAGATCACTATCACCGCCTCTGACGTCGTGCATCTAGATAATTTTGCGTCGTGTCGCTGCTCTGGCAGGTACGCTGCCATATAGAGTAACTCTAATCTCGGCGGCACAAGCTCTCGTGCATTACGGGCAGTTGCCAACGCTATGAGCTCGCGCTTTCGCCTTCGCTGCGGTACAGGTGAAACAGAGTATAGGCAGGGACAGTGAAAGTTCGGAGCCCACGCTTGTAGCAACGGCTGCGTCTGGAACATTACCCCACTTTTTTGCCTCACGAGCGACGTCTGGTTCTCTCCTGGAAAAGATAGGCATCTTAGTGTGTAATTTGACAACTCGCGTATTCCAGCTATCATCCTGAGGGTGAGCGGAAAGCTCTAAAAAATAATAAAGTCAAAATTAAACCGTGCTAAAAAAAAAAAAAAAAATTAAAGATGACGCGCGACGAACGTTTATCGAAATAGTAAAAGCAAACGTGCGAGGTTGAAGCTCGCCACGTGATTATTAATTTAGCTCGAGCTTGCTGGCCCTATCGACATCATGAGTCATGCAAACATATGATGGCGGACGACCCATTTACCACCGCCACACAGAAACGGTAAAACACTAGGCAAGCCACGCCCTGGACAACATAATGTCGCAATCGTTGTATCTCTTATTTATTACCTGTATTAGCGTGACTTCTTCCAGCAGACACTACCAGCGGCATCACTGGGAAAGGGCAAGTCGACCTCAAGCTTCAGTGACAGTTTTTGACTTCCCCGGCAAACGACATCAGGAGTTAAGTAATCCACTTTTTGGAGGCAGTGACGCTGCAACGGGTATTAGGTCCGGAGATATTGGTCAGCGTGTAGGCCCACTTATTCAACAACCGCCACAGATTCAGTTTGACATGTTCAGGAATATTCTACACAAAGCAAACAGGCTCGAAGACTTAATGCGTGACGATAGCAGTAGGTTTCTCGGTAACGGCATTGCTTTGTCACGCGATGCAGTTCGGGATGTATTCGGCAACCGAACGAGTCCAAATCTCCGAGGCCCAGGCGTGAGCAGAATGAGAGTTCATCCGGGCAAGCTTTTTAAAGTTCCCAGGAAGGTAGTACTTCACAGGCGCCCAAGCACGAAGCGTACTCGGTCTATTCCTACATTGCGTTCCGTGACTACGCCAACCACAACTATAACACCATCAACGACGACAAAAGCATCGATCACGCCTTCTGCTAAGCGAAGAAAGCTGTTTGTAAGGTTGCGTCGCACCAATCCCGCGAAACCAAATAACAGAATCGAAGCAAATACCTTTCGGAAAAGCTATATAGAAAAGTCGGATGAACGCTCCAAAAAGGTCGTGCCTCCGAAGGTCGAAACACCCTTTATTAACCACGACGGCTTCGGAAGAAGGAGTGTCAGTGGCGTTGAAAAACACTCTCATCTCAGCAACCCTGAAGGGTTGATGAAGCGAAGGTTTGAAACCTTCAAGGATCTTGAGGTTCATATAATTCGTGGAGGGTCGACGTTGTTTCAAATGCCAGACGTTGAAGTTGTGTACAAGAAGGCAATCATTTATAAGACAGCTACTGAGAACAGTTCCGTGGAAATTTACTGCTTTGCGGGCTACCACAAGGCTGCCAGTATCACATGGCATGTCAACCAACGTCCGCCCGACGAGTCAATAACTATCGAAACGGCCTACACCAAACGAGGCCATCTGAACATAGTCGTTTCGCGGCTAAGAGTAGGTCGCTTGGACGTGCTTCCTTCAAGAACGGGAAAATACACGTTTCAGTGTTCGGTGAACGTCGATGACTCTGACGCTGAATCCCGCATCGAAGTGAAAACTGCCTTTAACAACAGCTGTATCGATAACACGGACTGCGACGCCAGAAACGCGCTGTGCACCTTTGGAAAATGCGAGTGCAAGGATTACCTTCCCGTGCCACTCCGATCAAAGCACACAACGTGCCGCTCATTCGGGTTCATCGGCTGGCCCTGCAACTACGACGAGCAGTGCTCCTACGCCGTTCAAAACAGTCTGTGTGACTCTAGGAGAAAGTGCGGGTGTCAACAATACTACAGGCCGTCGAGCGACAACCAGTCCTGTCTTGCTAAGAACGGCCTAGGCGCTGCATGTTCCTCGCAGAGTGACTGTGACATATTCCGAGCAAAGTGCCGCAGCGGTCATTGTCACTGTCCGGAAGGGACAACATCGGGGGCGAGGATGTGCGTAAGTGTGCCGTCTTCCACGTTACTCGAACGAATGAAAAACAAGATGTTTAAATCCGGCAACTTGTCGGATGTACTTTCCGCTGACAACTCAAGTGCAACAGCATTGCCTGGCAGCGACAAGAGGAAGTTCAACGGTGCAGCAATAACAGCCTTGTCGTTCTGGAGGGTTTGGTTAGGAGTGTGCGTGACATATACTATATCATTTATTGTTCATAAATTGTAAAAAAAGAAAAAAAAATACGGTATGCCAGTTGTTCTTGGAAAGCTTCTTCAGTACACCCTTTGCTCGACGTGTCAGCCTTATGTCAGGTGCATTAGAAATCCTAAGAAACAGTGACGACTAACGTCTTTCGATCTTGGCCACAGTAATGAGTGCATATTACGTGACTCTAAGGCACAAGAATGCTCTATCTTACAATCGACAGAAATCATTTTAGTATTACTGTGACTTCGTCTTGTCCCCCCCCCCCCCCCCTTCCCTCCTAAAACGGCGGTGAATTTCTTGACAGGAAGTTAGGGTTTTGAGTTTAATAAAATAGCGCTTCTTTAATACTAGAGCCGTATTGGCTGCCTCTCATGGATTCAAACTTCCACCCCTGCAGTGCATTTTCACAGCAGCCGTGCACCATTTTTGTTGTTCTGTGTCGTGAAGATGCGGATATGTGAAAATTCCATGGTCTAATCGGAAACTCGCTTTCTTATGCATACACATGGTTGCAGAAATCGGTTTTAGCATGATGTTTGCAAGATCAGAAACTAGTGGCAGCATGTACGTGCTTCTAGACATGAAAATATAGGATCAGAAGAGGTAACTAAAGGGTCGCTTCCAGAGATTTGGCACTATATAGAACGTGATTTGAATTCCATTGCAATACATATTGCATGTGATACATGCTGCTTTATTTTTGTTTTCTCTTGGAACTAAAGAGGGGCCTTAACTTCTCGTCGTCTGAGAATCGGTGCATATAGTTTGTAGTCCCGTTCTTGAAGAATATATAATTGCGGAATTTAATATTTATACCTTTCTGTTACCCCCTACCTAACTACGCGTACACCCCATTTCCACACCCCCTTCTCTCTCCGATGTCAGTGGACGATTCATTAGAGAAAGTCGTACGCGCTTTACTTCTTTTTTTATAAATAAAACATGTCCAATCAAGCAATCAATATTTATACATTAATTTAAGCCAGATTGTTCCAAGCAAATTAAGTACAAAGGTAACCTGAACGTCCACGTACTATTGCTCCAATCACGAGCCTTTATCGTGTTTCTGATAACAGCAATGACCTCAGTTTATTTTGATGAGTTCAGCCGCTCTATTTTCCTGAATTGAATTCTACGAGCTATTTGCTTCCGGAACCATGTCTGCTTGAGATAGTGAGTGAATTAGAATTAGACAACTTTTTACTACGGTGTTAAACGTTTTCTGAGGGCGAAAGCCTTACTTGTCCCATTTAGCGAAAAAACGGCGTATATGGCCATAAAACACGATAAATCGTATGATCAAGAACAACAGTGTCCTTGACGTCGTCTTTGAGGTCGTCCTATAGGTCGTACTAGACCTCTATAGAATGACTCACTTTTCCCCTCACGTGAAAAAGCGACGTCATTTCGCCCGAAAGATGGCCATAAAAATGCGTCATCCAGCACGCGCCGCTGACACTCAAGTGCGAAAGCGTGATGTCACCGCCGGAGTGCCGTGTGTAAAAGATGCGCTTCGGACTTCATCTGTGCTCGTTGTGTGCTTCGCGCGATGGACTGTGAGGCGACCGCGACTGCATCTACGGCTTCGACATCGGCAGAAGAGCCTACATCTATGGCGGCTTCCGCAGGCGAACGTGGCCACCCACGCAAATACGCCACAGCCTCCTTAAGTGTCCTTCTCTGAACATCGTTCTCGAGGTCGTCCTAGACGTCGTTCTTGACGTCGTCCTCTAGGACGTCATCCTTGACGTCGTCCTAGATGCGTTTTGACGTCGTCCCAGACGTCGCCCTTGTGATTGCCCAAGAGATCGTTCTCGGCGTCGCCCTAGACGCCTCTCTGAAGTCGTACTCGACGTCGTTCGAGAGGTCGTCCTAGGCGCCGTACTTGGTGTCGATATCTAGGACGTCGTCCTCAACGTCGTCTTATACGTAGTCCTAAACTTTAATACGTGTAGAAATATAACTCGAAAACATTTCTCCCGCGGAAGTATAATGCTTGCGCCTTCCTACACTTAGCCAGTCTTGAGTGACCTCCTGTATATTTTTTTCATCGAAGCTGCTTATGGCTAAAGTCACTGGATCCTGGGAAAGTAACGCCATTGCCTTCCCTACCTGCTAGCCGGACACAAACGGATACTAATATAGACGACCTAAACCTCGCAAGGCGATTGGTTCATCGGTTTCTGTTGCCATGGAAATCGCCATCTTGGTCCATTTAAATTTTCGGAGCTTCCAGAGTGCCGTTCTAAACCAGTCGATCCAAGATCACCATGGAGCATCATCGTACTGGAAGCGTTCCTCGCCAATATAAGAGTCTTTGGCACTTCGTATGCGATCAACTTATTTATCATGCCCATCTCCATGGATCCCTTACAATTATATTGTCCTTCTTGCGCATTTCAAGACAGTAAACTTATTTTTCAGTGCCTCCAAGCACAGACACAGCATCTGGTGGTGGTACGAAGACGTGTACGCTTGTTTCGCCGGTGAGTGGTTAGCCAAATCTCGGTATACAAGAAACGACTCCATAAAGCTACCCGTCACCAGCGAATCTAGATCGGCTCACCCAGAACGGAGAAGTCCCCCCCCCCCCCCCAAAAAAAAAAAAAAAGAAGAGACTGCTTATTTCACGGACCAAGATGGCGACCACACGGGGAGCTTGGCGTTACTTTCCCAGGATCCAGTGCTTATGGCTAGGCTTCCGTGGATTTTTCGTGTGTGGAAACAGAAGTGACGGCACGGCTTCGGCACATCATGTGACGTCACGAAGCTGTGACGTCACGTGACGTCTATTTCCCTGTTAAAGTTAGCGGGGAAATCTTTCCGCTAAATATAGCGGAGAAATCGACGTCACGTGACCTCGACACCAATGCAACCTCCCCGTCAAATTTAGCGGAAAAATTGATGTCACGTGACACAAAGTCCTGACGTCACATGACGTTACGACTTCATGTCACGTGACGTCAATTTCATCGATAAATTTACCGGGAAAATGTTTCCGCTAAATTCGGCGGGCCAATTTTTCCGCTAAATTTAGTGGGAAAATCGACGTTACGTAACCTGAACACCAATGCAGTTTCCCCGCTAAATTTAGTGGCAAAACTGACGTCACGTGACACGAGGTCTTGATCTTTCGAAGTCGTGAAGTCATGTAATTTCACGTATATGTCGTGTGCTCAACAGCTTCGCTGGTCATCTACCTTCACAAAGTGCAATGGCTCATAATTCTTATTTCATTATCTCACACAGAGAGCACGCCCATGATGAAACACAAAACATACGAAGTTCGTACTTAATAGGCAACATAAATAAGCTCAATGCTGCATATGTAGAGCGTTTTCATATGTGGAACAACAAGACCAATAATACCGCGAGATGGAAAGCTAGTAGACTACTAAATATTAGCGAGCTCAGTCATATTCAAAACTCAGGGTTTCGAATTGAGCATAAACAAGAGTCTTAAGATGCTTATCACTTTTTTATTTATTTATTTTTATTTAGAACCAGGACAATATCCTTTTCATATGTTCTTCAATGTAGGGGCAGAATAGACCCTTTGCGGAACACAGTCTGGCAACACAGTCTGGAAAAATGGCAAATGTGCTATACTAATGGTGGCCTTCTGTTTAGTGATGAAGGAAGAAGTTGAAGATATTCCTAAGCAGATGATTCGATGCCTATACGTTTTAGACGTCCGCGCGGCGTGAAGCAGGAATTGGGTGCAAGAGCTGCGTAAGCGGTTATTTCTAACTGCTCAGTCCATCTGTCAGGAGCACACACTCGGCTTCAAACCCCCTTGATGTATAGTATTTTATGGAGGCGTCTATGTGTGCCGGCGCTTCGTTCTGACTGGTTACATATTTTTCGCCATCGACATTGAAAGAAATTGAAAAAGGAATGTACAGTGAAGCGCGCGCTCTCGTTTACCGTTGACTTGCAAAAGGGACGGTGCCCCATAAAATGCTGCACACCACAGGCTCACTGCCGCCAATAGTACGGTAAAAGTTAAACTGCCATTTGAGTCACCAGACGGCACAGAATTCCGGAAAGGGTCTGTTCAGTGTCACTCAGACACTCAAGAGAAGTTCTTCTATCAGGAGCGGGCCTTGTATCCGTGGTGACTATAGCCACGACGTCCCGATCGGTACAGGTCATAAGCGGGTTGGCTGTATTCTGCGCGGCCATATCCGGGCGCGCCGTAGCCAGCGGTGCTATATCCTGCTGGGCCGTATCCTGCTTGACCGTAACCTGCTGGGCCGTACTCTGTTGGACCGTACCCTGCTTTACCGTAACCGGGGCGGGCGTATAGATCCGTGCCGTATCCGTACTTCGCGGCGTATCTGTAGGCGGGTACGGCGGCCGAGCCGTACGCCAGTGCCCGGAAGGCGCCGGTGGCTCTTGCGTCGGGCCCTCTGACCACGGGCTTGGCGTTGAAGACTGCGTCGGCACTCTGCCCTGGCGCCGTGCCGGGCTCGTTGGTGTCCACGGTAGCCCTAAAGCCCCCGGCGTCGGCTACGTAGTTGACGCGGCGGAAGAGGCCGTTGGCGTCCGTGTAACCGTACGAGCCGGTCCTGGAGTTGCTGGCGTCGGCGTCCTCCTTGTGGAACAACTTGGTGCCGAACTCGTCCACCGTGTCGTAGCCAAAGCTGAATGGCACCGACGGCTGCAGGAAAGGTTTTGAATGTTATAGATTGTTGATACATACTTTTGACATGAAAGGAGTTAGACTCCTATAGGCCCCAGATGACGTTGTTACATATGCCCAATAGAACAGTGCCGTCGAGGCTCGTTTACATTCTGCATTTTTTTACACGCAACGCTTTCTTGACACATCTGCGGCGTGGAATCGGCTAGTTCAGATGACGAGCGTAACGCACACCTTCTAAGGGGCGGTACAACAATGTTCAAATTGAATGTTTTTCACTTTACACGAGTTTACTGGCACCGGTGGGACCCAAGTATACTCGCACGCCACGCCATTTACCAAGGAGCGTCTTTGTTGCAGTGTATTTTCAAGG